GAACGGCATCCCTCCCTTCACGGAACAATTTCACCCACCGTGCCACTGTGCGATATGGCAAAGCAGCATCACCACATGCTTCTCGCAGTCCCTGATAACAGTTTTGTGCACTACGGCCTCGTGCAACTTCAATTTTTATCCAGGAGCGTTGTTCTTGTTTCGTAAACATGTTCTTAGGGTGCTTGAACTGGGCTCCTGCACTTCAAGACGGTGCGCAATGCAACTCAATGAAACACAACCAGAGCCACTAACTGCACTACTTCAACTGAACTTCTGCTATCAGCTACAGACGGCGCTAGTGCCACCTGACGCACATCTTTCATGTTACAGCAGTGTTGCCACTACTTTTTATCCAACCCTTGTATATATTAACAAACTCAGCACTACGCCATGAAGGCGTATGGGGTAGTGGATGTATAGACCCAGGTTTTTTTTAACTCTGCCCAGTTTGAGGTGAGTTGTCAGCTTCGCCCCCTGGCCGCTTTACCCCGGGAATTAATTAATTTAGGAATTATTACAATCGCAATCGTAATTGATAGTTTTGAGTAAGTAAAAAAAAAGTAAGAAAGTAAAGCTATCTCTGTAATAGGCCGTGAAGGCCCATAGGGTTGTGGGACATTGAGGGTCCCACATTATCTAGACAATCGGCTCAAAGACGGCGGTAAGGTTGTCAGCCTTACGCGCCGGCAGCGCTTTACTCCCCAGGAAAGTTATTTAATTAATTCCTGGTACTCATTTCTGTTAGAGGCTGAGTCGACCCCAGGGCCATATTGCGGCCAGAAGGATTAGGTCAATTGAAAAAAATCCAGTGACCTCATCGGGACTTGAACCCGCGACCTTCCGGCTTGTAGCATAGTGCCTCAACCAACTATGCTACCGCGTGCCCCCGATAGTTTTGAGTACTTTTTAAAATTATTGTTTAAAATGTTCTATTAATTTATCTCAGTCAAATACTCTTATTTTCTTATTGAAATAACTGATCAACCAATGAGCCAACATGAGAATCAGCTAATAAGTAAATCATATTTTATCTCTGTCTCAATATTATTTTAATAGTTGAAATATTTATTTTCTTAAAACATGTTGTTTCTCTCTATTATGGATTCCAAATACCCATATATTACAAATCGTAACCCGGGCCATAACCTTCTCCTTTTCCACAATTTCACTACGCAGTTATTATAACCTTCTCTTGTCCTCACATTTTTTGTATCTTCGTTACTGCATGCGAAATATTGTGGTTATGTAAATACTGTAAGATTTAGCAGGTCTGTATGTAGCACCCTTTCGTCATGAGTCCACAAGTGTGGTGTATGCTTACATCATGAACTTACACTGGTGCTTTGGTCATAATTATTCTTCAGCTGCTGTGTTTAAGAGTAGATTTGTACTTACATTAGCCAGTATTGTTCAAGAGTATGATGAAAACATTTTTGTATAGCCACAAATTCACACCTATCCCAATGGTAAATATAAATGTAAATATACATACAAACATTGTATGCATATGTGTTTTAACACTCAAAACACCCATTGTGATAGTAGTTTCCAAAAAAATGTTTCGATGTTCCCTCTGATGATGGTGTGTAAGGACCGAAACATGCAAGGGCGTCGAGTTTTCAAGTAGTAAAAACTCCATTAGTCACTCTGGACGGAGTTCTTTTGTCTTTGTAAAGAGCTCGTACCTTCCTTAATTTACGAATTATTTATTTTTGTAATTAGAAAATAGATGTTTATTCATTTTATATTAACATTCTCAATCTCCATCCTGCTTGCTCTGTTACTCAGATTGAAGAAGTCCTTAATACTCTTGGATTGATATCATGCCGCAACACACGGACTGAATGTCTGTCAGGCGGACAGAGGAAACGTCTGTCTATTGCTCTCGAACTGGTCAATAATCCTCCAGTTATCTTCTTGGATGAACCTACAACGTAAGTTCTTCATATTACTTGTAAGAGTAAGTCTGAAGTTTCTATTATTTGCCTGTAAATACCTGTACACTCTTTCTTTTATTTTGTGCAAGTGTACACTTTCCTGAAAACTACGTGGACATTTAGAAACCCTTTTTATGAAAATCTTTGTTTACTTTCCATAGTGAATATTCTGTATGTTAATTGATTATCCTCCATTTCATAAAAATGATAGGATTGTTATTATTATTGATGATGTTGATCAAGAAGAAGATGAAGCTGGTGGTGATGATTATTATTGTCACGTGTCTGGGGTTCCGTGACTAATAATAATGAGTTTGGACTGGATGATTGGCTCTATTGATACCTTCTTTTACAATATCTTTTAATCGTTGTAGCCACTTTTGTAACTACTAGCTCCAGTGGAGAACTCCGACTCTTTGCAGGTCGTATTGACTGGCCATTACTTGGGTGATTAAACGGCTCTCGGATGCAGGACGACCAGCACTCAAACACCGACTGGCAATTTCAAGTCCTTGTTAGAATGGCACTATTAAAGTGATAGATGCGCCATAGTGATCAGCTTCAATGATCGTTGGGTATAGGCGCTGTTACTGATTCCTAAGACAGTAGTTCGAGAGGAACAACGACCAAAAGAACAAACGTATGATCAGAAATACCGATCACGTATCCCCGATGAGTGTAATTTTCGGAGTCCTCCAGCCAAGTCCCTCTCTGAAGAGAGGCATCTGTCCTCGTTACCAAAATTCAGGCAAAGGACGTTCCACTACAGATTTTGATTTGCTGGACCGGACAAGCTGGAAGACTGCTTAATCTGTCCCCTCCAATTAGAAGAAATAGACTCAAGCTGCCAGAGTTTAGGGATGAACTCCGCCACTTGCTGCATGACCGTCAAACTGGTATTTTGGGGTAGCACAAGTCCAGGATGACCCTGCTAATATTATGACTTGTGCTGTCAAAGTCTGGAAATTCTAAAGAACCTGGTCTCGTGTTATGCATTAACTTGACTGATTTACTGATGTGCAACTGGCATTAAGCTTTGCCCGAGCCACCTGCTGCATGTCTCAGAAGGAAATGTCTAACTGTGATGAATCTCACAGAACTGTGATCATACAAAAAAAATGACCTTCCCCTCTTTTGGAGGGCTACAACTGACCGTCCCCTAATTTGGACGACGATCAATTACAACAGTTCACAGTCAATGGCTGCCTAAAACTCGCTCAATTTTGGCTGGACTGTGACTGTCTTCTTTCTACTGTGACTGGCTTGGTTCTGATTTACGAATTACTCACTTCTGCTTTACAGATGACTTCTCATTTACGAATGAATGTGTTCTTATCTAAACAGCCGATCTCGACATCCCCATGAGAATGTATTCTCGACAGGATTTATGGAAGGTGAACAAATGAAAGTAAATTATGATAGCTCTGTAAACACGATCCGAAATGAAACAATAGAGAAAGTTGTGTTTTCTGTCAAGATGTTAAAGAGCCAGAGATAGTTATTTGACTAAAAACCTGAAAGAAAGTGACCACTATTGAGATCTAGACACAGAAGATAAAGGTAAAAAATGGTAAAGTTGCTCCTGTGCCTAACTAATTAAGCACTACACCATGAAGGCATATGGGGGAGTGGATGTATAGATCCACATTTTTCTTGACCTTGGCGTTAGCTGGAGGTGAGTGGTCAACTTCAGGCTCTGGCCACTTTACCCTCAGGGAAAGAGCCCCCGGTACCCATTGGATAGGTCGGGTTGTAGATACAGAAGAGAGAATAGTATTGAAAATGGAGCTCAAAGAAATAGGATGTTAGGGTGTGGACTGGATTTGCCTTGTTGAGGGTGGGGAGTACTTTGGGCTCTTGTGAATACAATAGTGGACCTTTGGATTGAATAAATTTCTGGGAATTTCTTGAGTCCTCAGCAGCTATTGGCTTTTCAAGAAGGACTCAACTCCATGGTGTTAGTTCACTTAGAAACAAATATCCTTTATAGGAATTTTTAATTACGATAAGCAATTATTTTATTGTGGTTTGAGATGGTTCACAGATGTTATTTTATGGTCACTTGTAAACAAAATCCTTCAGTTTTTGTTGCAATATTCAAGCTTATTTTAATTTAATTTAATTTAATTTTACAGGGGCCTGGACATAGTTGCAATAAAGCAATGCATATCGATGTTAAAGTTGCTGGCTCGGCAGGGTCGTACAATCATCTGTACAATACATCAACCTACTGCATCACACTTCCAGGTCTTTGACCAGGTGTACGTTCTTGCGAAAGGACAGTGTGTATACCAAGGTGCTTCGCAACAACTTGTTCCTTTTATGTCTTCAGTGGGGCTTCACTGCCCTAAGCATTACAATCCAGCAGACTATGGTAAATATAATGTATTACACAGGTACTATGTAGGACATCATCAGTTGCCTGGGCTATATTTGACACCAACAACGTTTTAGAAATTGGACACATTTTATTCACCTAATGTATGGGAAAAGGATCATAATCAGTTTGGTCTCAGTCACCACTCTGAAGTTTTTAAATGCCACTGTCTCAAATGACAATATGAAGGGCATTCAGATTTTATTGGGATTATTTTCTTTCTACAAACTTATATCTGACAAAATATGTTAATATTTCATGCAGGCTACCTGTATAATGTGGGGTATATGATGCAAGTATTAGTAGTCACAGCAGCCCACATCAGTAAGACACAAAATTACATTTGAATGTGTTGCAAATTTAATGGAAAGATGTGATTTTCAGTATTAATATTGTCTGTAAAGAAGGCGGTAAAGGCATGAAATTTATCAGAGACACAGAGTGGGAACCTTGTGTGTCATGTTCTTCGCTGTTTGATGGTGCAAATAATTATTTATGTGCAGAGTGTGATTCCAAAAACAAAGGCTAGGAATTGTAGCAAAATGTAGACAAATAATGTATTGAAGAGTTTATATGGTGTAACAATTTAACTGCATAACTTAGCAACAGAAGTTAATATTGGTATTGTAGTGTTCACATCATACTCTGTAATAACAGAATGTAATGAACATGGTTTAAACAGTTGTCAGCAGAAAGAGAGATACGAGTTCAAGAGTTGAGCAGTTCTGAGTTGATGATTTCAGAAGGAATGCTTTTTTGATAGTATCACAATCTCTGATACAATACAGTGTCCATCTCTTCTTCCCTAAAAGTCAAGTATGGAGTGGAGTTAAATTAATCTCCATTAAAATATTCTAGATCATGGCATTGGCAACTAAGGAGATTGCCGTATTATTTTTGGATCCTGAAGGGGTTATTTATGTTGACATTCTGAAAGAAAACATTACAATCAATACTTGTTATTACTGTTGCCTCAAAAAATCTCTTTGGAATGATCTACAAAGAAGCAGCAGCCAGAACTTTTTCAAAGATGCCTGTTTCTTACTTTTCACTGATAATATTCATCTATACAGAATCTATACAATGCACGCAGTTACAAGGGAAGGACACAACACAGGACACAATATATACAAGAATATAGGTAGAGTACTCCCATAGGAGAGGATCGACATAATTCGTGAATTTGAAGTGCGACATATAGATGATAAATCATGAAAAGTTTTAATATATAAACTTTATTATCATGACATATATACATTTTGATCATTTTATAAAGGAGACATGATGGCATACAGTGCAATGGTTTGATGTAAATAAAACCACACCTGAAGATGGCACATTGGTGCCGAAACATGTAGTGAGGAAAAAAGTGAAATTTAGTGCACTGTAAGACGGTTGGTACAAATACACATCATGAACGTGAATCAGTGCAACAGGACGCTAAAATATAACATTATTATATTTTTCTACAGTGTATTCTATGACTGATATATGATGTAATCTTGTTCACATTGCTTTTGGCAGTGATGGAAATGATTCAGGGTGAATATGTGGAGAATGTGAAAATAATGTCAGCTGAAATCCAAAATGGAAAGCTAAGCAAGAAGCTGGATCTATCTGTCACTACAGGAGAAAATGTTTCATATTCAGACAGCTTGAAAACGATCACAAAAATCTGTAAGTACAAAAATCAATACAGTCAACATGTGATGATGTACAGTTAATTTTCATACATTTCTATTACTTCTGACTAATTATCTTTCCTTTGAAACCAATTTTTTAAAATGGCTAAAATTTCTTAACATCCTGGGGACAGTAAATATTTTGAAAAGTTGTGTTGAAGGCAGGTTACTGAAATTGAAATAGGTGTAATAGTAAATTTAATTTAATGAATGTTGTCACATGTATTGATGACTATAGATGGTGTTTGAATTGGTAATTGGATTTATTGACCACTCACAGGACATAACTACAAATAAGTATAACACTATTTCTCTGTTACTGATTTTCACACTATGAAGCACTCCATGCTAATCTTCTTAGTCTATTTCCACTAGTCTTTCCTGGTAATGGAATTAAAAGAGTCTCACTGTGACTAATTCTTCTAATCACACACTAAATTTTTACAGGCCGATTTCTAATTCTTCTCCAACTACGAAGTTCCCCTGCCTATCTCCTACTTACAACTGGTCTGAATTCTGTAGTCTTGACTTTGTACTAATCTGTACTCACCTAATCCTACTGCTTGCTTGCTTCATTCCTTGGAATCCTGTTCACTCATATAGACACAGCATGGGCATGCATCACAGAAAACAATGTCATGTGATTGCTATTCAGCCAGCCTACTGGCATGCAGGCTGGACCTGCAGAAACACATTTCATGTGACTGCTACCCACTGTTGTGTGATGTCACCGCAGAAACAAAGAAAACACTGTTCTGGTATTGTTGGCCTGTGTGTGTTGCGGGCGTTGCCTAGCAGTAGGTCTGTGTGTCACAATATTGACAAAAGGTTTCCAGCTACATGTTTAATTCAAGACCTTGTCTCTCCTACAGAGCTACCTGTGTAACTCCAAAGTAAGTTATCTCAATGTCAGCCAAAATGCAGAATTCTTAAGTCCTAGTTGAAAGCACATAGCTGTAAATTCAATCAATAATATTGAAGTGATAATGTGCCAGATCATATGAAAAAAGTAATAAGGACAGATGTCTCAGAAAGCTGGTTTTCTTGTTCTTCTTACTCATGCTGTCCTATTTTCTAATATTGGATGTGGAGAACTATATTCGTATATATCATTCATGTTGGGCCTGTAAGTAATTAAAACAGTTTATCTTACAATAACTTCATGTTTTAGTAACCCAGCTGTTATGTTTATACCATTACCTTGTAAAAAGCATTTCCAGTGGTCCCATCAACAACATTTATTACTCTTGAATTACATTTCATATTTTTCTTGATCATTGGATTAAAACTTGCTTCATATTATTCCCAGGTCAAAAAGAAACTGTTGCTGTAATGCCGGCAGTCTTCACTCATTCCTTAATGGATTCTAAAGATATTAATACAGAATATGAATTCCCTACCTCATGTTTGCAGCAGTTTTGCATCTTGGTAGGACGACTGTTCTTGCAGCAGAAACGAAACCGTGTAAGTGTACAGAGCTCATACAGAGCATATCCATCCAAATTTCAAGGCATGTTTATGTTGTACTTCAACAGAAGTTTTTTATTATGACTTTACCCATAGCTGCATAGAACATAGGTTATAATATCCATTTCTTCTAAAAGAGGATACTCTAGCATGTCAAGTGTTGAAATGTTTGGTTGTGATAAATTCAAAATGTAATGAACATTATCTTCAATAATGTTTACAGGACTGTAATCACATCATGAATGGACAGATTAATCTTAAAAATTGGTTACTCTATGCAATAAAACCTCTCTCTTTGTCTTGTAGCCAGGTATACATTAATATTAATTTAGAAGAAATGTATTATTTTCTAGGACTACACATTCATTTCTGAATTCTCTGGACATAAGAATTTTGATATTATTAAATATTGGAAATATAACTTCTTGAGATCAACCAAATCATAAATCTGTTAAATTTATAGCTTTTAAAACATGTCAAAAGGTGTTTAAAAAAATCCTATTTTCTTAACTAGGTTGAATAAAGTGTTATAAATTCCAAACACGTACTTTGGAGGAAAGATCCAGAAATGAGGAATAATATAAACATAATCTGTAAACAGTTCACTCAAGAAGAGTTGTTCAGTGTTAATGACTGTTACAAATAATTTTATGCACACAGTAGACCCTTGTTAAACTGTGTCTCATTATACCTGTGATTGAAATATACCAGTGCTTTGATCATATCCTACAATGAAATTATGTATGTTTTATATTGCACATATTTCTATGAAATATTTTAGTTACATTGTAAGACTGTATTGCAAAATTCCTTGCTGTGTTGTGCAGGTAGAGAGGATAAAGTCCATTGTCTACAATGTCTGTAGGTTTCTGATTTCTCTAACCTTGGGATTACTTCGATCAAAATTCAGATTTTAATTATCACCCCTCTTACCTGCTTGATTACAGCCTGAAATCTGCCTTAAAATTCATGTATATACTTCAGTTACAGCATAAATAGCTCACCCCCTGATACCTGCTACATATTGCCATGAGATTGAGTGATTAGACATGGGGTTTGCATTGGTAATTGGATTTATTGAACACATACAGGTCATAACTACAAACAACTATAGCACTAACACAAATTCACATGCACTCTACCTTTCACTACAGCCCCCACTAAGTTTTCTCAGTCTGCCATGTCTTAACAGTTGTCTGGTAATGGCTTTCAATAACGTAGCTTCCTCACCTACTATGTTCACATTCTTACTGGCCAGTGACTATCTCACAACTAAAGACTTGCAACAATTTGGGCCCCTCTGCCTCCCATGCCTCTACCTATAGCGATAGTCCCACAGCAGCCTCAGACTCTGACCAGTCTGTCTGTATGCAGACTCTCTCTGCACTTTTCTCTGTACGGACTGGCTTGTCTTGTTGGTCCTCTTGATACAGCCTTGGGACCCACCCAACAGAAAACACTGCTTCCCACAATTCCTCTATTGTTGCTTGAATAATATGCTGTAACCTAGTAATAGCCATCTCTTCTGGTTAAACTATCCTGGCTTTCAGGCGACATATGAAGGGTGTACTGATTGAGTAGTGCTTGCTTCACTGTGGGAACCTCCCACAAGGCACTGAATTTACATCTCATTTGGGAATTGTAATAGTGAGATGGGATGGCTATCCTAAGTGTGTCTCTTAAAAGGGCTGCTTCCCTACTAACTTTTTCTGTTGGCTTGGATCAGGTAACTCTTCCTTAACACTTCTCTTGGGCTCAGTAACCACCCTTCCTGCAATCATCCTGTGTAGCTAAGCCAGTTCCTCAACCTACATACTACAACTTTGAAAACAGAGGTAGCACCTTCATCTGAAATGTCAGTTTAGAGCAGCAAGGTCACAGTGTGTCACAATTTGAAGACATGAATTGAAACATTCTCCTCCTTTCTGTGAATTCAGCTGATATCCATATATATTAACAAATTTCAATGAATTTTGATGTCTGGCAAATCTACCAGCCACATAAAAAGTTCACTTTAGAAAGTTGTTATGCTTATGTATGTCTAATCTCCAGTCTCTCTGAGATCATACTTATCATTTTAAATTTGTAAGAGATAAAAGAGTTGTGTCTCATTCTATAAATATATTCTTTCATGTAACATGGAAGGAAACTTGAATCCAGACCTTTCAAACTGGATACTTATAATTTAATGCACTATTACATTCTGAAGTATGTCACTATGTTCAGACTCTAGGTTGTAGTCCCTATACCACTCATCTATGTCCACTGTTATAATAGAATACTTAAAACTAGAAATGCGTTTGTGAGACTATCCTGCGCATGATCTTGCTATATTATTCCCATATAGATGCGTGTAGTTGTTGTTTATATCAGTTATTTAAAGAACAAATATTATAATATCCAACATACACAGTATTCAGTAGTCAAATATTTATGATGTTGGTATGATGTACAATATTTCTGAAGTCTTTTTCACATCAACTTAATAATCAAGGGCATACAGAAACTTGACATTGACCAAAAGTTAACATGCAGTAGTCATGTTTTAATGTACTGGTATACTCATGAATATGTGCAAGTTGTTATCCCTTGACCTGTGTACAAGTATTCTGTATGAATATGAGAATCTTTGTTTGTACATGCACTTGTATAAAATGTTTGGTTGTCTTAGATGTAAATTTTTGTCTGTGTGTGTGGATTGATACATGTATGTCTTAATTTTATTTCAGCTTCTTTTGTTTGCATGAACATGCATGGTGGTTACATTTAAACAGATCACATATGTAATTGCCATCTCTTCATGAATTTGTCTTCCCATATATCTATGTTTACCAGAACAAAATATGATCTCCATGGTTGTGGGTTGAATCCTTTGCCCCTTAACTTTTCGATCAGAATTATATTTAACTGAAATTATTTCTTTTCATTTTTGTATAGTATTCATGACATTTGTGATATTTGTAATAAAAATATCACAAGAAGTTTGAATCTGAAAAATGAGGGGGGGCTATATTTCATGGTACTGTTGAACATCATAGTTATTCAGAATAGGAGTGGCTTGTGTTCATATCATTGAAGACATTAAATAAGTATGATATAAGTCTACTTATATGTGACTTTATATTTTATCACAAAATTTTTTTTTCATGACAGGTTTCTTTAGGTATACAGCTGTTTCACCATCTATTCTCAGCTGTGCTGATCGGTGGAATATTCCTTCAGATTGGTGATGATGCAAAAAGACCTTTTGCCAATGTGAAATTCTGCTTGAGTGTGCTTGTGTTCTTCCTCTACACACACATCATGACACCTGTTCTCCTGTGTGAGTCACTGAGTTTATATTATTCAGTTTTTGCCAGATGTGTCTGTGATTCATTAATATTTGGAATATTCTATGATACTGCAATAACTGTGAGGCATGTAATAAACATTGTTTTAGCTAAATACATAACCGTTCAAAGTCTTAAAAAATATTAGTTATTAGATTGTTTGAAAATATTTAAAAATTGGAGTGACTGAGAAAAAAATGGTAAATAAAAGTAATTTCGCAACAAGTTGAGAGGAAAATGTATTCAGAAAAAGCTTGTTAGTGTGTTCAATTCTGCAGTGACTGCTGTCCTATCATTCTTTCAAAAAGGGATATTTTTATGATTGTGAAGCATCATTTAACCTAGTGAAAGAACATGCATTGAAAATATTTTAAAATGAAGTAGCAAAAATATTTAGGCTGCTGCTATCTGTTAAAAGTAATGCGGTCATTTTACACACTTCTACAATGTAAACAAAATAAATCTCTGTTCATGTTCATTTTCTGTGACTTCTTGAATGGCAGATCAGATTTCAGTGTATAAAACTTCCAGACTCTGTGGATTCTTTCTGTAAAGTTTCTATTTTAAGTATCCTCAGAAATGAATTATAGCCTTCTACATATGAATTTCACAATATGAATATGAGAACACGTTAAGAAACTTGAGTTTTAAAACTGGCAGCAACAATGGAACAAGGAGATGAACATGGCTGTTAAGAACTGAAGCCTGAAGAACTAATTCTTTCCTCATTGATTTTTGTTCTAGTTCCTACTGCTGTTAAACTTCTGAAGAGAGAATATTTTAACAGGTGGTATGGTCTAAAGGCTTATTATATGGCCATCACTGTTGCCTCTATGCCACCAATGGTAAGTAATTGTTACACTTGGTCGTCGACTTACGACCGACTTCCATTCTGACTGACAGTTCATAAGTTGATCTGCTTATATGTCGGCCATATATTTATTAACAATATTTTTTAACCTTTCTAATCTTTTTATCATCTGTGTTGCTGGATGATCCCATAGTTATCGTACGCGCAGCTGCCTTGCGGTGTCCTCAGGCCTCCCAACCTCGATGTGCCTCAGTAGCACATCTTGATTTATTACTAATTTATTTATCATTTTTTCTTGTGGTCGTAAGTGCGGTCAGTCATAAGTCGCATAGGTCGTAAGTCGACGACCAAGTGTATTTGCATTTAGTGAAAGAAAATGTAACTACACTTACCGAGGAGATATGAGATGCTCATAGTGATGGATATTTAGGCTATGATATTCTTAACTCTCTTGAATATAGCCTGTGAAAATTAATTTCATGTGAAATCAGTTTTACATAGNATTAAATTATATATGGTATATTTAATGACATTATCAGTAACTTAACTGATAAAGCATTGTGTGGTAGGATAACTTATGAATAATGAATTGCAAAGAATGCAGAAAGAAGTGTTGATGTTCTAATTTGAAGTAATATTCATTCATTTGTCATTTATTTAATCATAATACTTCAGTGTTAAGTGTTCTATATTAAATTTACTTTTTCTTCACCTGTTATAACTGTACCTCCCTCTATTTTTATATTATCTGAAGAATTTGTATCCTAAAACACTGGCTTATATATTTAGAGCTTTGACACTAAGATCTTTACTGTGTTTCATTATAACCATAACATTTCATTAGCTATTTAAATACCATCTCAGTGGTAATTTATATTTCAGTTGTGTTTTGGGATGATATTCTGTATGGTATCATACCTGCTGTCATCACAACCATTAGAGCCAAGTCGCTTTATTTGGTTCTGTGCTGCTAGCTTATCTGTGGGACTTGTTGCTGAGGGCCATGGTATAATTGTTGGTTCAGTCTTCAGTGTAATGGTAAGATATTTTTCTCATATATTTAGTTAATGATTGTTAAATAGTATGATTCTCTATTGCAATATGCCTATGGTTTTGCAGAATAAAATGTACTAGTTTCTTGTGGTAATAATTAAGATTAGGGCATGATAATAATGATGGTGATGATGTTAATGAAAGATTTAGTAGTAGTAGTAGTAGTAGTATTGGCATCAATGATGGTAACTATGTCTAAGTAGTACCAGTAATAGGAATAATTTAGGTAATATTCCACTGCAATCAAAAAAAATATAAATGGATTCTGAGGGGTTCTGACATTTATATAGGATGTTTGAGATTCCTGAGTTTACAAATTTTGTCTATCAATTGACTATTCTAAAAGGACAACATTTTAGCAACTTGATGTATTACTGCCCTCAGATGAGGAAGTTGGAAAGCACCTATTCAGTTGAGTCCATTAGAAAGAGCTAATCTCAGTCACTGGGCCCGTGAGTCCAGTCACTCTTCACAGAAACAGTTCCGCCTACCAAATCAAATAATTAATAATTAAATAATTCCAAGTACAAGTTTAAAGATCATAGAAAGTATGCACTTTAAGTAAAGAATTAATTTTACACTGTTAGTAGAGTCAGAAGATATCAATATGAACAGAAATGGTGTAGATTTGATAAAACAGTTACAAATTCACTTATATTGTACGTATTTGCTGCGAAAATAGCAGCCCTTACTTACTTACTCATTGAGCTGAGCCCTTCTGGAGGAGCCACCAATTCTGCAGCTACTCAAGTATTTCCCAGCATTTTATGGAACCCGAAGGTTCATTACCGTGTTCACAAGAGTCCTCCACTGGTCCCTATCCTGAGCCAGATCTATCCAATCCGTACCATCCCATCCTATCTCTCTAAGATCCATTCTAATATCGTCCACCCACCTATGTCTTGGTCTTCCTGTGGTCTCTCCTTCCGGCTTTCCCACCAATATCCTATATGCATTCCTCATCTCCCCCATTCGTGCTATATGACCTGCCCACCTCATCCTCCTTGACTCGATCATTCTAATTATACTTGGAGAAGAGTACAAGTTATGAAGCTCCTCATTATGCAGTTTTCTCCAACAACAGTAATAATAATAATAATAATAATAATAATAATAATAATAATAATAATAATAAT